ACACCATGAAATGTGTATTGCCAGGTTCTATAATTATAAGTTAACCTCGGTTATAGAGTGATCAGCGTATCTAATGAACAGCTTCTTCTACAGTGATGCCCGGGTGCTGTATCTAACGAGACAAATCCCTGAGATGTATAATACTTCTAATAATATGTAATATATATTTCTGTGTTTAGTGTATAAATCATTTTTTTTTTGTTTTTTTTTTATTATATTCAGTTACTTTCTCACCAGAATTATGCTGGGAATTGCATAGAGAAATGTTTCTATATATAAATCTGCGGTTAAATGGATATCGAGGCCCCTCATGGGGGTGTCCAAGTAATCACATAAGCACATTTTTTTTGCCAATATAATCATATAATCTTAAATAATTTTTTAAACAAGATAATCAAATAATAAAAAATACAGTCCTAGATTATCAAATAATGAAACAATCATGAAATATTTTGTCTAGTAATCAAATAATCACTGTAAAAACAGCCAAGTAATCACATAATCAAAAACCCCATGCGGAGGCTCGATATCGTAAAGTATCCTACAGGTTTTCTGACATTGTCCCCTTTCACAGGTAACACCTGCCTCATATTATCCAAACACAAACAAAATATGTTTCATTTTCATTGAATAGACTTTGAGAAGATTTATCGTTAATTTGAGGATATTTGTGTCTGTCATAATTACAAATTCACTAACAATAAATGGTAATATTTTTTTTCAGACAGCTTATGCTGATTTCGAAGTTCTTTTAGACCAGTACGTTAAGTCTTTTATCAGTTGATACATGATTTTGTAATAAATGAATATATATTAGAGGCAAAAGTAGTATACTGTTCAAAACTAGAAATTCTAAGGGTTCGATTTACAAACCAAGATGCAAAAGAAATCGCTTCAATTCTAAATGGAGCAAAAACAAAAACAGTTTTACAACCACAAATACCAATTACAGAGAACTCGCAGTTACTAAAAAATTACAGCTAAACCCCTAATTCAACTAAACATCTGTTTAATGGAGAGTATGTACAGAAGATACGGTAAAATGATATTGCACAGACAAAAACGTATTGCAGTTGCTTACATGTAAAAGTATACCTAATCAAAACATTAAATGAAAAACGAGTCACGATTAATACTCCTATACATGTGTTTTGTAGAACACTTGAATAACCTCTAGGAAGTCATTATTAATATATTTTGAAATTTGATTTTCAGACTTTGATATCCAAGTACTACAACATTGTTCATTGGAAATTTCCAGCGTTTTTTTTTCTTCTAATGGTCCTTGTGTTAATTCTGCTGCGTACAACACATGTTGTTTTCCTTTCAAGGGACCAAACACGTCTAAAAAGCTGTTTCATGTATGTATTGCAACTTAAAAATTGATGAACCCTTTCCTGAATACATTTTCATTATAAAAATGCTTCCATTATAGTCAGTTTACTTAAACATGTTGAATATGATTGTTGTTTGTTATTGTTTTTTTATTTTTGCAGCCATATTATCGGCTACCAACCTTAGTATGGCCTTGAAGATTAGTAGAACTGTTCTTTAGTAATCATAAACGTGTGATAAAACTGCAGATGAGTAAGAAAAGCATTCAGAAAAAAAACACTATTTTTATTTTTTTATTATCGTTGTTTATTTACTTAAATCCTTCGTTAAAAGTTACAATATTGTCCTTGAATCTCTTCGGCTTCCTTGTAAAGAATGAACCTTTAAACTCACTAGCCCTTTCTTCCGATGCAACTTCTGTTTATGCATATATGGCCAGAACAGCAGTCAAGCCTTGTATAACATTTTCTAGGCCAACATGGAGCTCTTTTTTTTACGACTAAAAGAAGACAATACTGACAATTGATACTCGATAAAAGAAAACATAGTATCATACATTTGTTTGTTTGTTAGATCTAGTAGTACTTTCTTCGGTACTGACATGATGTATAAAAACCTTTCTAACTTTGTCCGTGTGTAAATTTTGAAATTATAAAGAACTAAGGTTCAACTTCCTCAGGCAAAGTTTACTTTTGATGAATTTGGCTGATTTGTTTAGGTATTAGTTGGTTATATAGCACTGCAACGGTCTTGGCTATTATACATCCTCGGCTTTCAAATATTTAACTTTAAGCGTTCCTGATGAAAGTAAAACCAGAACAAACGCTTCGGACGCATGCACTTAATAAAGTGTTGTTTTCATTTTTTATCTGTGTATTTGGTGGACATATCTTTCTAGAAGTACGATTTTATATTGCTAACATGTTATGTTTACAAAAACAAGCACCAGTACCAGTATCTGCTGGATATAACTCAAACAACTGTAAACGTCATACAGCACTACTCATTTTTTATGATAGGGCTGAAGATCATTAGAGTGATATACAAAACTAACTGCAGGGCATAGGAATGAATAATATCGATAGCTTTAGAGTTGATTAAGAGAATACAATATATTCCGTCCCTCGCTTCAAGTTCACAACATACATAGAAATGTATGCAGTATTGACGAAAACTGCAATTGAATTGATAAACCCTCGCTCAAAATCCTGTGTTACATCGCAACATTATATATGTACCTGTTCCGAGTCAGGAGCCTATAATCTAGTTGTTGAATAAAATTTTTACTGGAAATTATCAATATGATGGCTGTTTAGACCCGGATCGTCTAACCCATTCGAAGCATATGAGTTCACGGTTCGTTTTACCCATGTGCAATGTCTTTAGGACAAGTGTTCGCTTTTTTTGTCTTTTTTACAATATGATCAGTCAATCCTTGAGTTTTTGTTTTTTTAACTGCAGGTTTGCAACTCTCCGTTTTTATTTCTACTATTGCTAATATTTTGTATATATTATAGACGTTTTTCAAGTATACGAGTTATTGTGCCAATATGGAAGTTTTTCATTTATACGATTTATTGTGCCAAAGAATTTGATTGTCGTTTGTTATTGTTTTTATTTTTGCAGCCATGTAATCGGCTACGAACCTTAGTATGACCTTGAAGATCAGTAGAACTGTTCTTTAGTAATCATAAACGTGTGATAAAACTGCAGATGAGTAAGAAAAACATTCAGAAAAAAAATACTATTTTTATTTTTTTATTATCGTTTTTCTTTTACTTAAATCCTTCGTTAAAAGTTACAATATTTGTTCTTGAATCTCTTCGGTTTCTTTGTAAAAAATGAACCTTTAAACTCACTAGTCCTTTCTTCCTATGCATCTTCTGTTTATGCATATATGGCCAGAACAGCAGTCAAGCATTGTATAACATTTTCTAGGCCAACATGGAGCTCTTTTTATACCACTTAAAGAGGACAAGCACGAAATCTCTTTCGAAATTATTAACATCTATGTTATCAGCAATCAAAGCCGGGCTCCAAAGTTATTGTGAAATTTCCTATTCTAGAGGTGGCGTGAATCAGATGTGGATACTAAAAAATTCCAAAGATCTTTTAGAGTACATACAATCTAAGACTCTCTCATCTTGCAATAGTATTAAAACATTTGATTTTTCTACACTTTACACAAGTATTCCCCATTCAAAACTAAAAGACAAATTGAAAGAGTTTGTATTACTTTGTTTCATTAAAAAGAATGGCAAACGTAGATACAAGTATCTTGTCTTGGGGAGGGATAAATCCTACTTTGTAAAGAATCAGTCTGATTCAAACAAAAAATTCTCTGAAACTGACATTATCAAGATGTTTGATTTCTTGATTGACAACATATTTGTTACGTTTGAAGGACGTGTTTTTCAATAGACTGTCGGAATTCCAATGGGAATCAATTGTGCCCATCTTCTTGCCGACTTGTTTCTTTATTATTATGAGGCTGACTTAATACAGAAACTTCTTAGGAAGAAAGATAAGAAGTTAGCAATATCCTTTAACTTTACGTTCCGCTATATAGATGATGTTCTCTCACTAAATAATACAAAATTTGGTGACTATGTTGAACGAATCTATCTCATCGAACTAGAGATAAAGGATACTACAGATACAGTTAAGTCTGCCTCATATCTTGACTTACATCTAGAAATTGAAAATGAGGGTCGGTTGAAAACAAAATTTTACGACAAAAGAGATGAATTCAGCTTCCCAATTGTGAACTTTCCATTTCTATGTAGCAACATTCCAGCAGCGCCTGCATACGGAGTATATATCTCCCAATTGATACGATATTCTCGGGCTTGTATTTCCTATCATGATTTCCTTGATAGAGGATTGCTACTCACAAGGAAGCTATTAAAACAAGAGTTCCAAATGGTGAAGTTGAAATCATCCCTTCGTAATTTTTACGGACGCCATCACGAGTTGGTTGACCGTTATGGAATAACCGTTTCACAGATGATATCGGATTTGTTCCTTATGTCGTAACTACAATACTCTTCCCTTTTTACAAATGTGACCTACCGAATTAGACTATTTACCGGATTTGTAATAACATAAGCAACACGACGGGTGCCACATGTGGAGCAGGATCTTCTTACCCTTCCGGAGCACCTGAGACCACCCCCAGATTTTGGTGGGGTTCGTGTTGCTTAGTCTGGAGTTTTCTATGTTGTGTCATCTGTACTATTATTTGTCTGTTTGTCTTTTTGTTTTTGGCCATGGCGTTGTCAGTTTGTTTTCGATCTATGAGTTTGACTGTCCCTCTGGTATCTTTCGTCCCTCTTTCCTTCAATGTACATCACCGTTGCATTTCTTATCATGTCCGTATATCATACCTTGTTCACCGAAAGTGTTGTGTTTGTTTTGAACAGTATATGGTTGGGCTCTTCCCGTTTGAAATTATTATACTTTAATTTATAATTCAACCAATGTTGCTTTATAATTCATACTTTTATGGAGATTTATTTTCCTAGATACATTGACTTTGAGTATTTCTAATAAAGTTAACTGGTATTAAACCGACTAACTAAAAAATAATTCGACTCCTAAATATTTAGAGTCAATTAATTTTAATAATATAACAAAACGGGACATAGGATGTAAATCGAACTTACTCATGAATGAGTCCATTGTCTTCCAACATTTCATCATTTGCCATGTTGACTACAAGAAAAAAAATATTGTCCGTATTCTTATATCGTGACCAGGTTTTTCATGTTCGTCATGCACCTAGAAACTCGGAAAATAAAGAGACTCTCCTGGTTATAATCGGGAACACTAAATCATTTTTCGAATATGCCACATGTTCACTGTACACTGCAAACACAATCGTGTAAGTAAAACCCTTTCCACACGCACATACACATATATGCTTTGTTAACAGTAATTCATTTTAACAAGTGATTTCTTAGTTTGTTTTATATTGTTGGTTGTGGGTTGTCTGATTTATTATTTACGTATAGCATACATCTTACATATTGTGTATCGTGTTTCATCAAGTGAAAACAAATATTTTGTTGAAATGTTAGAAAAGAAATTTAAAACAAATGTCTTACCTAGATCCATTTTAAATTACTAACACTAATAAAATATGATTCATAAAAAGTTAAAGCTTACGATACGGTATCATTTTGTAAGTATAGAAGGCTCCTGAAACTCTGATTTATTTCGAATTTGAGGAGCAGTTCCTCAGTTCAATTCCCCTGTTCGCTTTTCACCTCAACCCTTAATTAAGAAGAAATTTAAATAACAATAAAGAAATTAAACGTAAAGGATTAAAGTTTTTTTTTTATGTTTTTCTTACCTCCAACTGACATTAACAATAGACAGACGACTAAACAAACAGAAATCTTCATCCTTCTGTTTAATATTCTGCTAGACACTACAAAAGATATACAAATATGGTAAAGTATTATTTTTATGATAATAATTCGTTTGTAAGAATCCTTTGTCTTAGTTTTGACAATGAGGAAGCTGGTTGTAAATGACTCCAAAGAGTAGTTGCAAGAACTTGGTATTGATGAGTTTGCATAGGTATATTCAAACATTGTGTATAACGTTCTATAGTGTAGCTTGTTTTATAAGATTTCTTCTTTTTTTTTTTTTTGTGGATTTGCTTTTAAAATTTCATTGTCATCATATATTAAAATCGAGAATAATTTGGTCGAACAATTGATTGGCAAATATTAAAATCAAATTCATCTACATCACAATTTTGGTAACAGTTCAAAAAGTGCTTGTATTAGTCGTTTGTATTCCATTGTGTCGTTATGAAAGACTGATTTTACACCTATTCATCAGAATTAATTGCCGCGAGATCAAGTTAAATGCTAAAAGTGGTTTACTGCAGTCTAAGAACGACATATAAGAAGGACAAAGAATGTCCTTATCGTTCGATATTATTTGTAGTTGTCAAATGTAGGTGGACCGAGCTGAAGAGCTAAAATATTTACGAAGTACATAAAGTTGGTGCCGAACATTTAATTAATTAAATTACTTATTTATTCTGTGCAACTTTTATACCGTCGTAATACTGTTATATTTGTTGATGTACATGCTTTCATCCATGCATATACTATGTTAACATATATATGTCACAGTGAACCGGACATACACCAAATTATCGTGATGGCTAATATCAGACAGTGACTTTGATACCACTTTTATTAACTGCAAATACATATTTATTTCAACATATACAAATCTTTCAACAAATTCGGAAAACAATTACATTCATTCATAACCTAAATATAAAGCCACAAACTAAAATGAGACGAGAACAGACGGACTAATGAATTCGACAAAGCACTTTAAAATTACGCCATGAATAATATCGCCAATAAAACAATTTATAGCTGTAATTCAGTAATTTGAACTTTACTATAAAACTATGTAAAAAGTACGGAAAAGCCGTATTGTATCTTATTGTAGATTTTTATGATAAAACTATCATAATATTTCCATATAACATTTAATGAATGAAATTCTATCGAGAAACTGTAAATTAAACTTTTCAAATAACAAAATTAACTAACCTGCAAATATTGCTTTAGCATTTAAGCATCCACACAGAAAGGCAGTTATTCAGTTAATGAAATCCTAAAAATTTATATATATAAGGCGTACATTTATTTTCCCGCGTGCGTGCAATTATATTTTATTCTATTTAAATCAGTCAGGTGTGTAGTGACGTGTATATGAAATTGTGCAGTGACGTGTATTAGAAATGTCGTCAGTCTCAGTCAAACGTCATAATGAGTTTGATGAAACAGAAAATGGAATGAATGAAATAAATAAATGAACTGATGAATGACAAATCAACATTTAATTATACGCATAAATACGACGGTGACATATACTTGATGTAAAAATAATAATGAATGTTAGGGACGTTATACATCTTGATTGAAAAACGGAATCTTCATTTTGTTAAAAATGTGTCACCTGAATTCGTATTGTTTAAAAATAACAAATTTGTGTTTTATTCTTAATATAATATGAAAAAAAAGAAATGTACTTACATAAGCAAATGGAACTGTTACTGTATGCAAGTTTTATTAAGACATTACGTTTGTATTAGATCTTTTATACATAATTGTGACGGAAATGAAATCTGAGAAATACAAATCATTTGTTAAAGTATTTAGCGGTTGTACCTTCTTGTATGAATAATGGACTATACATTATTTCCCTATTGGTTAACCAAATACATCCTTTTGTAACATGCAGAGATACTATCTCAACTTATTAAAGTAGTGAGGATGTCAAAAATACTTTTTATTACATAGACGCACAACAGAGGTACGACATCATGGCAATTAGAAAAACAAAAGTATTTACATAAAGGCAACCGGGAAAAAGTAACAACGTACATGCAATAAATTGGTTAACGTGATGACATAAAGTCGAACAGAAAACATCTTCATAAAAATAGATGTGGTAAGAATGCAAATAAGACATTTATCCACCGATTAAAAACAATAATGTCATTACACAATTAACATACATCATAATCATTTAATACAAATTCAAAGCAACTCCTGTATGGTTCAGCCAAAAGTTATCTGAGGTAGTCCTGTTAAAAAAAAATAGAATTAAGGACTTTTTGTTTTGAAGATATGCCGCCTTTTACTTACATCTTTTATACATAAATAAACGCAATAAAACATGTCAAATGCTTTGCAAGTATTTTCATTACTTTGTACCTTTGTCAAATTTCCATAAAGTTTTCCTATTTTTTGCAAGCAATTGCGTATGTTAAAATTTATATTTAAAACTTGCCATTCTTAGATAAACATATCCAAATACTATGCAAGTAGTTATTTCAAATTGACATTTAAGTCAAATAAGTGTAAAGTTTTCCATTTACTTGCATGCATTTGAAATGTTTGCAAGTGTAATATGTTTACGCCCTTAAATTACAAGGTTTATATAATTAACGGCCTGAATGAATATCAGTTTTTTTGAAAAGCTAATTAAACCTGGCACATATGTATTAAAAAAACCAACATATTCTTCAGATGAATATGATGTTTTATTCTAAATCCAGTACATATAGAAAACGTAGTGAAATAAAACCAATATGGACAAATCTATTATCTTTTCTTTGTTTTCTCTCTTTATTTCGGTCAAATATTCACTATTATAAACTCATACATGTAACATTTTTTATCTTTGATCTATTTCCTGAATTCCAAAGATTGTCGTTTATTTCAACATGGAAGTATTATATTGACTTTTATTTTACTACCGTAATTTGAATAAATGGTATTTACTCCCGAAATACACATCGCAGAGAAAACATTTTGACAATTATATAATTAGAGCGATGAAATAGGGTTAACTATTAGGACAAAACTTCACAATACATTTTTAATAAAATCACTTGTTTTGAGTTTATTTACATGATATACAGAACCGAAAGATATCAACATTTCGTAAAAAGAAAGAAAATACAAGATAATTTTTAAATGACAAATCCGTGAACCACCTCCCAATTTGGTCATCTAATATTTAATGTTCTGACTTGTTAAGCAGCTTTTGTATTGTTTATTCTTTGATAGCAGGTCAAGAACCCTCGCCTATAGATGTAGACCTGAAACTAATCAGAGTGAATTTTACAATAAAACATATATCATATATTATATATCAATTTTATAGCTGACTATGCGGTATGGGTTTTGCTCATTGTTGAAGGCCGTATGTTGACCTATATTTGGTAATTTATATGTCACTTGGGAATAGGGTCAAAGTTGGAAGTAAAGGTACTTATTTTCTTTGGATATAAAAACATTTGTTATGGTTAGCGATGTCTTTAGATCGGCACTTTGTATTTGCGTCAGTTGGTATTTTATTTGCGCCAAACATCTTCCATTCGCGCCACAAACCATATTTCATTTGAGGCAAAATAAAATGAAAATATTGGTGACGATAAAACAGGTAAATAGAATGAACACTATTCGGTATATATCATTTACTTGTATTCATGCTACATGTTTCTCCTCGTCATCATGGGTAGTTAGAAGTCGGGTATACAGCAGAATAAGTTGCTAAACATTAAAATAGTAAGTTTAAACACAATATCAACAGCTTTTTTTCAACCTGTTGTCGCGAAAATTCTGTTTTTGTATCTATAATATTAAAAAAAGGAGATGTAGTATGATTACAAATGAGAAAACTATCCATCAAATTTTAAATGAAGTGGATTCAAGCAATTATAGGCAACCGTACGGCCTGCAACAATGTGAAAAACCCATACGGTATAGACGGCTATAAAAGGCCCGACATGAAAATTTGATACAATTCAACTGAGAAAAATAACGGCCTAATTTATAACAAAACAATTTTTGAAACACAAATATAACAGACATGAACAAACGACAACCACTGAACTGCTAGCTCCTGACTTGGGACATGGACATACAGAATGTGACGGGGTTCAACATGTTTGAAAACGCCAGCCCTCTTCTAACCTGGGACAGCGGTTTAACAGCACAACATAAAAACAAGTTATAAAAATCAGTTAAAAAAACCTTAACTCATATGATCGTTACAAAGCAGAAAAATTACATCTAACAGAAACACAGACCGGGCGTGGCAGGGTATTTATACATCCCTCACAACCAAAAAGACGACAAGTAGATCTGAGAGTACTCGCAGTTACTGACAGCTAGTCTTTTATACATTGGATAATCTGTATATGTTGTCATAAAAACGGACTTATTTTTCCTTTTGTTTCAGATTGAATTATGTCCATCTTGTCACACCGAAATTGTGAACACTATTCAATTGTATACCCAAGTAACTTACAGTAATGTATGACAATGAGTATGCACTCGCCTAAATACTTAAGAAAAACATAACAACATTTACAAAATTTCTTATACGAGCATTGTTTTAAGACACAACTTAGATTGAAACATAAATCGACATTCAGTTTACTTGAAAAATGACGCAACATGAATTTTTCATTTGTAGGCGCAAATGAAATACTGTCATTTTCAAAAACATATAATATTTAAATTTGTAATGGAAATGCCCCCAACAGCAACATGTAGAGGGCGTTTTGATTTTATGGAAATATTTGAATTTTTAAGCAAAAATTTAAGTATATGCATAGACTCGTTCATTTTCAATTACCAGTAGAATTTGACATTTTTTAGATATTGACCGTGCGAGTGAAAAGTACTAAGCAGCTAGTTTTTATAATCTTTGTCTCTGCATAGGATAAACCAATAGCCTCCCACACTCACGGCGAGATCGCTTCCTATGGAATACCGAGGGGGATATAAATAACTCTCAGTAGAATAAAAGAAAAAAAAAAATAGACTGCTACCAAACCAGAAACTGATGTTCTTAGAACATATTCCTAAACAGTTTTAATTG